TGAGGGAAGATCGAGTCCTTTTAGTCTACGTTGTTTTTTATGTATTTTGTAACATGCATTTGATCGGCAGGTCTTATAACAGTCAGGGCATTCATGCTGCTCCGATTCAATTAATGCACATCCTTTGTGTAGGCATGTATTGCAGACATCAAAACATGGGTGATCAATATAGCTGTTTACAAAGCTTGAACACTGTTCACAGTAAAATCTTTTACCAAAAAAAGCTAGGAGCTTTGCCTGATTGATAACATTGAAAGGATCTCCGTCTTTGTATAGCATTAGCTTTTCTACTCTTCTAGGCCCTTCATAAATTGAAGTGTTTCGTGCATCAAAGTCTATTACAATAATTTGATAGTCTGAAAGAACACCTTGAAACTTTGAAATTTCCCTCAATCCGCATTTACCAGGCAAAATATTGGCACGTTTATGCAACATTAAGGCTAATTTTTTCTGTATAGGTCTACCCATCTTCATTTGTTTTAATTTAGGATGGTGGTCAGCCATCCCTATGGCTACAACTAAAGCCCGAGCACAGCATAGGTTATCATTATTCTTGATAGTTACAATCAATTTTTTTAAAGTACTGTCTTTAGAGTAATCTAAGACTTTGAACGCCTTACCACTCCCAACAGGTGCTTTTACACCAATAAGGTCGATGATAAACGAGTTGTCCAAAGGAATATTCTCATTACTCTGCAAAGTTTTTGTAATTTCCCCCAAAATTTTGTTAGAGTTAATTTCAGCGGCAGGAAGAAGCTTAGTGCTGATTGGTGTTGTCAAAGCATTCGATCTAATCATTACACGAAGATGATCTTCCAATGGTGTTCTAAAATCACACTGTTCTTTTACCTAGGAACATTAACATAAAAATTAAAAAGATGCTTTGTGTCACACAGCGCTTTTTTCACTCTCACCTGACGAATGGCGTCGTCAAAGAAGCCATCGAGCTCAGTCATTATGTCTTTGACTTTTATTTGCTTATCGCGAACGGATAGATCGTCTAACTTAGCACGGAATATACACGACTTGGCACCAAATTTACGAACATATCGTTCCGAAACTTTTTCAAGCACAAAGTTAACAGATTTTTCATCATTTTTAGTTTGATTTTTTATGTTGTCCCTTTCTTCCACAAGGTCAACACCTTGCTGCAACAACTTCGTTGATTTTTTTACCCATTTTAACACTTTTGAAATATTCGTTTTATCTTTAGAGATTTCTTTCTGAACTTTTTTCAGCAAACGTTTTGCCTTTACATTTTTTCTGATGGCTCGAACACGTAAACGCTCTAGATACTCTTTTCCCTCCATGATCATCTGGCGATGTTTTTCATGCAGTAATGGCAATTTGTGAGATCATGCTTCATTTTATAGTATATGTTCATTGAACTCCTACAGAGTAATTGAATAATTACAAACAGATTGCATCTTGGGTGTTCAGGAAGGTATTGTGTGTGTAATGAAGAAACACTCACAGCGATACATTACAAAAATTTATTGCGTAAATTTTTTATAGTTAGATACAGTGATCAACCGCTCGTGCATGCATTGTTATTATTATTATTGTTGCTTAACATTTCGTGTTTATTCATCGTCCTGGAATGGGTTGGTCCTTTTTTTCTGTTTCTTAACGGCGACCGTTTTAGGTTCCTTTTCTTTAGGCTCTTTCCTCTTACGGTCATTCAGTTCAACCTTTCTTTTTGTCTTAATTATCTTGCTATTCATAGTCACGTCCCCCCAATGGAAGAAGCTACATTTTTCACCGTCGGCGATAGATTGACATCGAAAATATGGTCTTTCAGGATTATTGCTCGATTGGGAGACCATGAGACTACCTGGATAACCGCATTCGCACAGGAGGAACTTGTTAGGTTTGAATTCTTTCGTGACTTTCGTTTCGTAGGCATCCATTATAATATGGTACCTTTCTTCGTGGCACAACAATGTGCATCCTTCGCCTTTACATTTAACATATGCACGTTCGTCCTTTTTAGATACGACTCTCTCGAGGCCTGCACCACAGAAACATGGATATTTCTCAATCGAAACCATGATGTTCAGATTATTTGCTCTCCTAACACAGATTTAACACGTTTATGAAGCACTGTTCAAGTTGTGTGTGCAACAGGAACATTTTCCACCTTTTTTAAAGTTTTGGCCTTCACATGAATAATCATTTACCAACGCATGATTTTCTTTAAAGAAGAATAGGTCTCATTCATACTGTGAGTAAAGAATTGAATAGAATCACATTCAAATGTAAGACTCGCGCTTGTTCAAATCAGTAACCCCTTTTTGGTACATTTATTGATATCTTTCCAGAGGGCCTCATCATTAATTAACTGCATCACTTTCCTCTGTATAATACCATCCCACACCGCAGGATCTTATCTTCACAACATGATTTTTCTTTTTAATTTCCCTTCAATATTGACTCATGTTCAAACCGATACTTTATTCACATTGTCAGGCATCTTTCCTGGGCTCCTTATCATTTACTGTATCATGTCGGTATGTTAAAGGCTCTTTTCATTTCCCTTTAATATTGACTTATGTTCATGCCGCTCCTTTATTCACATTGTCAGGCATCTTTCGTGGGTCCTTATCAATTACTGCATCATTCCCCTCATTAGGATACTGCACAAATCTTACCCACGCCTCATTATTCAAGGTCATACTATTCAATGGTAATTTTTAATTTACACTTGCGAGATGGCAGCGAAGGTCACATCTCAAGCGCATGCGCTGTGTACTTTAACCACTTGAAATACTAAAAGTGTTTTGTATGTGTTATGACGATAAAAACTCTGCAAAAAATCAAGACACGCAAATCGCAAAGTCAGAATGGCATCGCAGCAGACAGAATACCATTAAATTAGTAAGTGCGAGTTCTTTCTGTTTTATTTCAATTAGCGAATGTTTTTTATCTTCAACAGAATCTATCTCCTCATTTTCAGAAAAATGTAATCGCTGTCGTGACTTTTATACGACAGCAAAATGTGGCCCACACAGCACATCTCTCCCCGTTATTGGAGTCACGGGGAAAATTCAAGTGCAAAATTTGCGGGTTTGTATGCCTTTAAAGATATTTTAATCTCAGGTTGCGTTTCATGTCATTGATTTTTACTCTTCATTCATGTAGTGTATCGGACGCAGGTGTCGATGCCGCTGTACTTCAATTTTTGATGTAAGTTTGTAATTCATTGGTGCATTTATACCTTACTGTGTGCTATTATATAAAGATTAGATATATAGGATTGAGAACTGTGGTGACTCTACAATCCAATCCATACAATGTGTAACCGTACGTCCTGTGTCCCAAGTGCAGGAGTCACCATTTAAATATGGTGATAGCCGGGAGGGCACATTGTATATACACTTTGTATATTACTCTCACTGCGCATGCGTAGTTTGAGCATTCTTGGATTGTGTAGGGAGTCTCATATGGAGACGTTCACCGTGTTCGCGATATGCAAAGCTCACCTTTATAGGTTTGAGCACTGTAGTGACTCTACAATACAATCCATACTATGTGTAACCGTACGTCCTGTGTTCCAAGTGCAGGAGTCACCCTTTAAATATGGTGATAGCCGGGAGGGCACATTGTATATACACTTTGTATATATATGTTTGAGGTATAAACTTTCATACGGAAGCAGCAATTTTATATAGTGGTTCTTATTTCATTTATTCAGAAAACTGTGTACAGAGGGCATCATGTTTGAGGTAGAACATTGACAACGAAGATTTGATATAACAATATAAATAAAAATTTACAAATGTTGAATGACTCGTTTTTAAGTTTGTTCATTTTATCTGAAACAAATATTTTAAGCCAATCTTTACAAGTATATTTTAGTATCTCAAGTCCGTTAACGGGTGGGTCGACATCTTCAATGCTTTTCATAAAATCTTTTATAACAGTCTCCTCAGACACGCTTTTTCCAGGGAATCATCGAAATACAACATCTCACGTTCATCGGGTTCCATCATCAAACAATCATGCTCGCGATGGGAGGGTGTTGGATCGCACAACCATAGCAATTCTTGTTTACCGCGGCATGTATCATTGCAGTAATTTCATCGGCGTAACAGTCTAATAGTTTTTTTTCCCGCAAACTTTGACGTACAGTTATTTCATTCTTTTCTGACTCCAAAGCCGATTTGTTCATTTTTAATGCCTGATCAATGTCTACATTCAATTCCATTTGTTTCAAGAGATAAAATGTAAACCTTTCGATAAAGTATAAGCTATAAAATGCGATTACCTCGTTTTCTACCGTTTTTACCTTCGATTGAGAAAAGGAAACTGATCTAATGTTACTTTGTCAATAGCATGCAACTTCCAGCTGTCGTATTTCTGATTTTCACGCCATCCAATGCCATGTCATGTTTATTAAGTCCTATTTCCGGTTGACATGCGCGCTCAACGATCAACTTCAGGGGACTGGAAACTAACTGGCATGGGTAAGAGCTCCGTGAAAAAAGTGTGACAAAGCTGCATGATATCTACTTACACTCAGCAAACGCCGATCAAATGTTGCACGTTGCACCAGTGATGAAATAGTAAAAACAGACACCCAGTGCGTACATGTGGGTAGCCTCTAAAAGATCAGCAGCGACAAGCCCAGCGAAATTCATGTTTCAGCAACCAAGCTTATTGCGAAACCGGTAAAATAATGTCGATAAAAAGAACGGTCGTTATTTTTGATACTGTTGACAATCCTAACCTACACAAGTCTGATATTGTATGATAGTGTGTCCCACCACCTAGGCAATAAAGAGAGCAAGTCAGACGAAAACACCCAAGACCAGTCCCTCCAATCAATGCTTCTTTGCAGTCTACGACATGGATGGTGAATAGGGGTGGCTGTACTCTTTCCATTGCAAAATATAACTGCTATTACAACATATATTTTAAAAAAATTAAATACTTATATCTGTGGAACAAACAGTATTAATGCATCTGCCTTCTCTGCCACGAGGATAAAACCGATATACGTTGACTTCTGTTACAAATAAAAAACCTTCATAAATCAGTTAAGAATTTGGATGTAACTTCAAGAACAACGTTTGTATAAAAGCTTGTTCCCAATCACAATCACTGAGCATGGCTACAAAGTCATCTAGTAACTTTTCAAGGCCTGTGTTGCACTCAATGAGTGTGAGTGTTACTGAACTTTTTTTAATAAGGATGAAATTCAAACAAACTTAACATGCATACACCTTCTTCTAACTTCATTTAACAACTTTTTGAAATTTTTGATTGCAAGTGTGAACTCAACTGACAAGTGCCAAGTGCCACTTTTTAAATCATCCTAATATTGCAAAGAAAAATTATATTATTCCTGTCATATTTATTTAAAATTCTTTGATCACTTGATGGTGAATGATAAACGAAAATATTTTTTAGCAAAAAAATTACAACGTAAACTTTAGCAGCAGTGGCGAGAGTCTCAGTGATGTTGTAGATCTGCTTAGCCCCTCTCCGCCAAATTTTTTTTAGAAATTTTAATTTTCTTTGGAAATGTGATAACAATTAAATGTTCTCAAATTCTGAGAATAAATGCCGAAAAGTAAGCATTTCCAATTCCATTCATACTTAAACCTTTATTATCTCCAATCCATTTTATTTATTGTAAAATATTGCAGCTTCAAGATTTTAAGAGAATCGATCTTTGAAATTGGAGAAATTAGTTAATGTAATTTTTTGAAAATAAAGAAGTTTAAGAGCATGCGCACAGACGTAATTACCATGTAATATACGTCTGTGATGACTTTACACTACTCGTTCAGTGACGTACGTCAACTATTTTAATTTCCTATAACTGATTTTCATTAGCTACTTTTCTGAAACGCAATAAAACTTTTTTTTGTAATTTTGGGTGGTCTACAGAGATTGAAAACATGGCGACCTACGGAGATGAAATATGGGAGGAACCAAATCAGAACGTTTAAAGCGTTTTTAGCATTATTTCTCTTTACGAAGAGCAAACTGATGCTTGAAAAAATTCTTTTCTGTTTAAGAAGTCATTGAAAATTTTTCTAATTTGTTTGGCAAATCTTTTATCTTTTACTCCTTCCATTAATAGCTGATGTTTTATTCTGGAGCATAAGAGGGACCAGTAGTGTTGCGGTATTAAAGGGCAACTTTGCTGACGCACATTGCACATTAGTTTTGGCCTTTCCTTCCACAAATAAGCCGTTGTTTGCTTCTGCTCTGACTACAACAGAATATGCAGAGTATGTTGTAGTCCACCGTAATTTATATAAGTGTTACTCGATTACGCGTACTTTAAATAATTGCAGGAATTATTCCGTCCTAGCTATGTATAAATATTCATAGACTTATATTACCTGGTAGATGCGTCGTTGTGCAGACTTAGAGTTTTAAGTTTTGCCAACATGGCATCTTTGTCAAATGCCAAAAGGTTTGGCACAATCAAAAAGATTGTTGCCTTTACGGAAGCAAAATAGTTAACAAGATAATTATCAGCTTGTAACAGAAAGTATTTCCTTTCGTCTTTCGCATTGACGTAATATGCAAATATTCATACGTTTGGATAATTAATTCTGATGATCGGCATTCAATCTTGGTCTTAGAAAGGCCTGAAACATGAAAAAAACTTGTCTTGATATTTAGACCATTCAAAATTTTAATCCAGTTGCTATAAAAGATGCAACAACATCTTCAAATCGTCTCAGCAACTTATTGCAAAATATTCAAATTTATTTGATTTCATCAAACATTCCACAAAAAGAAAAAATTGTTTTTTGAGCTGTGTTTTAGCGGAAAGTACACACAATAAAGTTGTCGTCATAGCGTATTGCTTTATTTATATTTCTTTTCCGGGTCACGCATTGTTATGTATTTTTCAAAGATTGATCTAGTGATTGTAAATATTGATTATACAATTCTGCGTTTTATATTATAAAACTTGAATATTAAGGTATGGTGATTTGGAAAATGAGGTAGAGAATATTTGATTTTTAAATTTTTGTTTGTTTTTCATGAAATTTTTCAACATTAAATTTTGATCTTTTTCACTCATTTTATGTCGTCGTGAATATGATGACAAGAGAGGCAAACAAAATCGTGATTGCTTCCCTTCATGGTTAGAGACATTGAAAAATGATAAAACAAACTTCCTAACTATTTCATTTTTTTAAATTTTTGTTCAGAAGGCAAACTTTATAAACGTTATGCTTTAGATGTACTCTCCATTTCATACCATTATATGCAGGAATATATTTCCATGTATATGTGTAACGATCTAAAGAGAGAGAAAGCTTAAAACCCTTGAAACAGAAAGATAAAAATTGCCCAAAAGATAAAATATTTCATCGAATTATAACATATTTCTCTAAAAAAGAGAAAATTAAACTCTCTGAAGAAATGTCGCATGTTAAGGATGGGAAATGCATCTGTTGGAACAAGAAACCCTTAGCTTATTATTATTTCGTAAATGCTGACTCTGTTGATGCAAGGAATCTATTTACATTGGTAAATATATCATTTTAAATTATAAAATAATGTTTAGCAAATACTCACAGGCGCACTTTTTTTTACAAGTGGTATGCAATTAAAGTTAAAAAACAATTAAATGCATAAGTTCATAATTTAGAATTTGTATATCTTCATTATAGCGTTACGAGTATATTGATTGAAAAAATAACGAATTAAACCTATGAGTGATTGTTTGGTACATTAGATGATTGGGGACATTAATATTATACTAGTATTAAGATTACTATATAATAAAAGCAAACTTTTTCAAACATTTCAGACTTCTTGAATGCATCAGTTGGTGCTTAAATTACTTTTTGGTATAACAAGTTGCAAAAAGAGAAGATTTTAATGTTATATTTTCAAGATTTTTTTCAATTACAAATTATTCTATCTTAGGAAATACTAAATCATAAAAATTTTGTTGCTCATGTCATTACAATGTAATTGCAAGTGGTAACTACAAGTGACATTCTCTGTAAGCAGGCAGCAATCAAAGATTATCTTCTCAATGGCCAAATGCGCCGACGCCGACGCCGTTGTCTGTATAAGCCAAAAATTTCAAAACAGAAGTCCAACAAAAAAAAGAATTTTCTCATAAAATGTTATTTAGCTACTGCTCTACCTCAAAATTTTTCACCAATGTAAAAACGCTGCGCGATGAATCATACCAAAGAAGAAAATGCAAAATACACTTTAGTTCAAATCAACCGGTTTTTCACATTTTTGCAATTGTATTTAAAATAAATTGCACTGCTCTTAACCAATCAGAATTGAGAAATTTTTTCATGTATATTATTACAAAATTAATCATCCTGTATGATGCATTAAGAGTTACATTCTCCTGAAAATAGGTTTATAACACAAACTCACATTGTTACAAAAAATCTTGTGGCGTCTATCAATAACAACAAAGCAACGAAAGAGGTCCTCATTTAAAGAATCAGTGTACGGTAATGCTTTGCGCGCTTGTACTTACATCTGTTAATAAAATTCCACGATAAAATACAAAATGACTATTTGAGCTTCTAAATATCAAGAGAATGTATTAAATTACTTGTAGCTGTACTGCTTTCCTTTTTTTTTTGCTTTGTTATTTTACCGAGCCATGTTTGTTCTAAAAAAGCAAGCTGTAATGCCTCAAATTCAGCAATTAGAAAGCTGGCTAATTGCAGTACAAATGAATATTCTTTGCTCTGTTCTTTGACTTATGCAATTGCTTTATTTTGTTATACGAATAAACTCTTGCTAGCAAACGACTATAATAATTGAATTAATTGAATTACACACTAGCTCTGTTTTTTTATTCTTGTGCGGCAGAAGTAGTTAAACTCTAAACTTTTTTCTCTCTGGTGAAGAAAATTCCAAACGCATCCCCCCTCTTTGACTTATCTGAGGTAAACTTTATAAAACTAATACGCACAGATGAAGTCAAATCGATGTTTCCTGAACAATACTTTCCGAGACTTCTTGATGACTGAGAATAACCATCAAATATTTCTATTGAGTGACATGAGCAAAGGTTACAGATTTCTAATTTAAGTGACGACGCGGTGACGTGATTTTGTAATTTGATGAATACGAGTCAATGCGCCAACATCGAGCAATGTTGTGCGGGTAGACACTGTGATCGCAGACAGTGTGATCACAACTACCATGGGCAGTCGAAATACCGTGTCAGACTCAGATGAGCATCGAGTGCATTTCTTTGCTGCTGTTATCGATACTATGTTTGGTAAACTACATCGAATAACTTCCACTTCAACAGATGGCATCATGAGGTAAGTTCGCCCCCGAAAATAATTTATTTTAACAAGACGAGGCGTTGCAGGAAATGTCAGCTTATTATAGATGTGTTGATGAAGATCTTCAAATGTGAGCTTCACCAAGCAAAAAACTCCTTGCCAGGAAAGGAGCTCGATGCATCATTCTTACATCTCTCATAGAATTAGCACAATTCCTATTATCTTAAAGGTAAGCATTCTTTGATCTATACAACTGGTTTGTACAGCACTTACGCTATCAGTCTATTCTGCTGGGTGCGAAAGAAGTTTTCTTTTTTGAAAATGCAGAAAAACTATTTAAGAAATTCAATTGATATAGAAAAATTTTACCAAAAATAATTTGTTTGCAGCTAGCGTAAGGCAAATTATGGCGTGTGCATCTCCCCAGAAAAATTGTGCTTTAGCTTGTGCCCCCTTACAAATTTCGGGTGACGCCGCTGTTAAAAGCTGTGTATACTGAATTATGCATGTGCAGTGATATAATAATGACTTGTAAATAGTTTGCTTTTTTAATTGATGCGTATACTGTAAAAATTGTGTTCAAGGTAAAGTACAATAATAAATTTATTATGTTGTCGCTTGTGAAAGCATGACAAAAATGCTCAGTCCAAATCAAAAAATATGAAAGTATACTGTGTTAGTTTCATTTTTCTTTTGCTGTTTTTCTTTCCAGGAACTCCATTTCTTTGAAACAAAAAGTTGTATAATTATTTGC